TCAGCAGTCAGGCCCCTTCTCCCACTCCCAGTCCCTGTTTTTCCTTCTCACCTGGACCTCAGGCCTTCCCCTCAGGTAGCAGCGTCTCCAGAGCCTGATTTGGGGTCCCAGATATCCAGGCAGCAGCAGCCCTGGGGGTAAAGGGCAAGCTCCCCAATGTGAGGGGAGCCCCCACTCCTGATCAGCCAGGCTTTCAGAGGAGATAGCAGGTCGAGGGAGCCAACGAGAAGAGACTGCCAGCAGGGAGGGACTGTCCCGCCAAGGACAGAGCTGATTCAAGGGGGTCAGGGCCCCTCTAGAGAAGAGCCACACAGAACTGGGGGGCCCAGGAACCATGAAGCTTGGCTAAGGAGGAAAGGGAAATCAACTGACAACCTAGAAAACTGATGACCCCAGTTTCCCCAAACTGGGTCAGGAAGGAATGTCCAGCTGCCGCCCACTCAACACTGCACGTGTGATCAAACTACCAGACTCCGCCCTAGAACTCTTTATCTGCTCTCCTTATGAGCCTTCAAACTAGGCCTCAGGACTGATTAAAGTTGATTTTAGGGAAACATAAAAATGTTTGCGTGAGACAGGAAGACTAATAAGGTTGAGGAGGACAAAAAAGATGCCTTATGTTAACTTTAGGATTTCTGTCTTCCTGGGGACAGTCAGGTACTATAAATGACAGCTAACAGAAGAGGAGTGAGGACCTCAGACACTGTCTTTTCACTTCTCATCTAGTGGGATGAGCCTGTGAGAGAGTCAGAAGAATTTAGGAACTTTAGACACCTCACCTGCTGTCTAGGGAGCCATGAATCTGGGCAGTGTTCTGGGTCATAGCCAAGATTATGGAACTGTAGTATCTGTTCCTTGCTGTAGCGTAAGTCCCAGTCCCAGACAGATAGCTGTGGGTTAGAGTTCCCAGCTGGGGGCTGGGAGTACCCTGCAGTATAGACTTGTGTATAGGTGTTGAACTGGATAGAGGAAACAAGAAAAGGATGGTTAAACAAACAAAAATATATAATCCTCCCAAGTCTAGAGAGAAATCATGAAATTCTCATCTCTTAAGAATCAGATATAGGGTGAAAGTCCAGTCCTGAAAGTGAGCACCAACCTCCCCCTTTCCATCCACAGACCTCACTTTTCATAATCAAGACTAAACTTCAGAGAGTAGTGGGATTTTCTGGGGTTTTTTTTTGGTGGGGGGGGGGCACACACTGCACAGCTTGTGGGATCTCAGTTCCCCAGCCAGGGATTGAACCTGGGCCACGGGAGTGAAAGCCCAAAATCCTAACCAGTAGCCCACCAGGGAACTCCCAGAGAGTTCTTCTTAATGGGGAGAAAAAAAGTCAAAAATGGAACTCACTGACCTGTCCACTCTGCTTTCCACGCTCCCAGGGAGTGTCTCTCAAGAATGTAAGGGTGTCAGGAACCCTGACGCTGTCATGAAGAGCAAGAAGGAAGAACTCAGAGAATTCAAACTCAGCTGGAGACTGCTGGAGGAGCTGCCAGACGCAATCAAGGAAGAGGAGAAACACTGGGGCCTGAGAAGAGGGAAATTAAGAGGTTGGAAGGGGCTGTGGGGACCTAAATGGGGAGGATGACAAAATAACAGGGGATGAGGGGCACAGGAACAGAGGACACTAAGGAGGTCAGGGAGTGGAAATCTCAGTTGAGGTAGGGGGTTGTGGTCCCTCACTCATCTGGGTCTCCCTTCAAGCTTAGCCCAACCTCAGAACCCTTTGGACCTAATTCACCTCCGATGGATTTTACTATTTAATTTTCTCATCCCTGTACTTCTTAATAATACTCTCCCAGTACCCTCCCCAAACATTCTCACCTCTTCACTGGCCCCAGTTCCCCCAAGTCGGGTCAGGAAAGGATGTCCAGCTGCCACCCACTCTCGCTGCACTAGTGATTGGAAGCCAAGCAGTGTCCGGGCTTCAGGGGCTGAAAGCAGCTGGACGAGTGAAGAGAGGAGGCCATTGAAATCACGATCACCGCGCTCTGGGTGATAAAGAGGGATAAGGGACAAAGAAGGAAGGCCAAGAAACTAGGGCAGAAGAGAGTGAGAAAAAGAAACATGGCAAGAGGAAGTGAAAAGCACAGAGGGGGAAAGTTTGGGGTAGGTAGGATTGAGAGGGCACATAAAAGTGAAGAGAAAACAAAGACTTTGAGTGATTCACTTCATACACTCCACCGAGATAGAAATACCCAGCTTCACATGTAGGAAGCAGAATCATAAATGTCTAACCAGCTTCCACATTTTCCTTCCCACCCCAACCCCAATCCCCATCCTCTGATGGAAGGACAGGAACAGAGGGCTGAGAACCCCTCTGTTAGGGACCACAAGCTTAGTGGGGAGGCAGAAGTAGCACTGAAGGATGAGTTAGAGCTGATGGGTAGTTCCTAGCAAAACGAGAGGATGCTAGCACTGGGAGGGGACAAGGAAGCTTTATAGGTCTCCCTCCCTGAGCAGAATCCAGTCAGGTGAGTAAAGAAAAAAGGCAAGGAATGGAGTGGGTTGGCCCAAGAAACTCACCTTGAAGTACTACAGAGCGAACCCTGGATGTCACTAAGACTGAGATGTCACTGGCCTTTCGAAGACAAGACCTGGAGGAGTGGGTGAGGAAGAGAAGGGGAGAATAACAAGCCTGGAGGAAGGGAATGATGGGTCAGGGGATACAATAGAGACAGACTCCCAATTCCTTCCCCCTCTCCTTCTAAGGAGAAACAAATAACAGTCTTCTTGGGGAACCAAGGAGAAGAGTTAATGGAAGACCATTTAGGAGTCAGAGGGAGTACCTGATGTAGTCCAACCATCGTGTTCCGTCCAGAGCTGAGAGCCATTTATCCTCAGCCACAGATGAATCTGAGAGAGAGTAGAGGAGTCAGAAGGGCAAAGAGATCAAGAGAACTGGGAGTTCAGGATCCAGAATTAAGAAGGGTTAATAATAAGTTGGGTAGTGGTTACTTAGGTCTGGGGATAAGAATGAGAAGTAACTATAAATGGCTATGAGGTTTCTACAATTAAGTTGTGGCGATGGTTGTACAACATCGTAAATACAATGAAATGCATTGAATTGTACACTTAAGATGGGTGAAGGGTGAATTTTATGGTACATAAATTATATCTCAATGAAGCTGTTTAAAAAAAAGAATATCTTGGGGCTTCCCTGGTGGCGCAGTCGTTGGGAGTCCGCCTGCCAATGCAGGGCACGTGGGTTCGTGCCCTGGTCCGGGAGGATCCCACGTGCCGTGGAG